CTGAACAACTTTAAATAACCTAACTATTTCACCTGCAATAATTGAGTTGATGAAGAGGATCATAAGAAAGACAATAACAGAAAATAAGATTGGAGCGTAGCCTATATCTCCCATCCCCCCAGCGCAAATCTTGTGCACCCAGTTATTGCTATGAGCTCGTTGTGCATTAGACTGAACAATGTCCAAACAATAAACAATTCAACACCTCCCAATAAATAGCTAACAGAAAAAGATGCAGCTAAAAACTTCATAAAGAAGCAGACAAGAGTATTCTAACAGCTGAATGGCAAATTGACAATTGCAACCTATAGACCAAGCCCCAAACACCCCGACCCCACACACAAAGGTCCAAACCATCCAACAAAAGTAAAACTTCATAAGATTGTCAAACAGAGAAAAAAACGAACATGCTGGAACTAGAACTAGATCCTTCTTAATGTCCAATTGAACAAGTCTCTATTAATATCACTATACACAGGCAACATCATACAAAACCACGTACAAGGAGAAGGGCGATTTGCCGATGACCTTTATCAGACGCAAGTTTGGATAGGAGTAAATCCAGCTTTATCTTTCATCATTAGTTCCTGCTTTGTCCCTGTGTGTACAAGCACAGTGCAAGCCTCTGAATTTCCTCTAAGAGCAGCCCAGTGCAAAGGAGTACAACCTAATAGCCAAAGATTTGTTGTTATATGAAAAACTTCAGAAAAGTGCACCAAGAGGGTGCCAACCCATTGATATTTAAGAAATCAACTTCAGGTACACGACTATCAAACAAAGTACCAAAGATCGACAGAAATGTTACTTTCAGAAATTCATTACAACAAAGGCATATGCCAGAATAATTTAATCATTCCCTCAAATCCAACATTCCAATCGTACTGAACTGGCCCTGAATTCACAGGACTAAATTACAAAACATGTTGTTGGTTTTCATTCCAGCATTTCCAAATAATGTTCTATCTTTTCCCTCTGATTCCAGCCACGGAAGACCAAGAAACCATCTCCACCATGCTGAAACTAATTAAAACTAAACTACATACAATACATCTAACAGGGAATTAAACAAGTGAATGAAGGCATCTATCTTTATCTGAAAACATTGCAAATTTATTTGCAATGTTTCTTAGAGATAAGTTATTGGGTAACAAGTCACATACTAACCCCCATAACATAGTGACTAGATAAAACTGGTAACAGATCTGGGGACGCCTATTATACAGACCCAATTATAATTCTTCAGCTTTCATATAGGTGGATAGCTTTGCTTCAATATAAAAAACACTCATAATCAAGAAACTTCACACCAGGATGACTATTTTTTGTAGATGGTTAAAATTTGATAGATTAAGAAAGCACAAGAAAACTAGGAGGACACTAAGCCCTTCTTGGTACCTTCTTTATCTTGCCTGCTTTGGCATGCATTTCTAAATAGAAGTAATCTGATTGTATCTGCAAATCCCTTGTATGCAGCCCTGGTAGACAGAAGGGTTAGAATAAACTTTCCACTAAAGTAGGTTACAACTAGAATGTTTTGTGTCCTCATGACATACAAATACTATTCCACTAGACATCATAATTCAAGTGCTATTAATCATAAATAAAAATAACGGAAGTACTGAAAAGTAAAATGATAAAGTAAACTATGGCTATAATATACATCAGAATCATTCCCTTCTTGGAATGCATATCATGCAAAACTTTTACTTCGCCAAGTGATATGACAACCAAAGACAATAAGGCAAAAAAACAACTCCCCAACCTTTGGAAAATCTTTTACACACTTTTGGTATAAGAAGGTTGCTCCCAATTTTTCAGCCACGTGTTGAACTATTACTTGAAAAATAAAACATAGGAAAAGGAATATAGACTAACAAGTTACATGGATGAGAGGGATAACTTTCCATTTAGCGAAACATACATCAAATAAGTAAGGAAACAGAAAGAACTACGGTTAAAACAAAGCTTTCAACTAGGGAAAAGCGGCCAATTGGGATGAAAAACAAGTATATTTGGCTCTAAATCAAAAACATTAAGGGATAGATAAGCATATGGTAGAGAAGCAGATATATATGGACACAAGGGATAATTTTTCATTTAGCTAAAAATATATTCTACAGTTAGGGAAGCAGAAAGAACTGGGATTAACATAAAACTTTCAACTAGCACTAAGTGGTGGATGAAAAACAAGTATATTTGGTTCTAAATCACATATACTTGATTTTTTAAAAAAAAAATAGAGTAGTATCAAGGGTGCTGCACAAGAACAAAGCTATATATACTTAATCAAAGACCTAAAGCCTCGGGTAGCATCAAATGCTCTTTCATACCTCTCATTGTTGAATCGTCAGAAATGTCCAGACGAGCTATTGGTCTTCATGACCTCCTAGAAGCACTTATGCTTGAGCAAGACAGTACCCAACTCAAAGCCCAAGACACTAATTAAATTAATCCAATTTTACAGACAAATGAAATCAATGGATGCTATTTAAGAAATTTTAGACTGACCTATACACCTCCTGTGAAAAAAACAATGCATAAACTGTGCAACCAAACAGCAATACCAATGTCCTCTAAAATTGAGATAATCAATAGATATCATTCTAAGTTCCATTTTACATTAAACCTTCAATATGTACAATTTTTACATGAGCAAACATCTCTCACATGTGTCTAATTGCCACAACAGACACAAATATCTTTTATGTATAAACTAAAATTTCCTATATCCTTTTGTCATAGTGAAAACAAGCATCTATAAACTCAAAACGACAACATACCAATGAAGTGGACTCCTCCCTTCATTATCAGGAGCATCATAGTCAGCATGATACTTCGCAACAATGTGATTTAAGAAAGTTGTTTGTCCATATTGAGCAGCAACATGAACCGGCTGCAGTAAATACAGATAAGACTAAGAAATTCACTAGAGAAAGACAATTTATCACAAAATGCATCGAAATGACAAAAAAAAGGGATTTTTACATGAAATCAGAAAACACAAAGAACTTCATGAAATATCAAGCAAAAAGTTAGTTCCTTGTTCTGCACAGTTAATATGCCTTGTATTCTTCCAGGCAATATCATTGAATAAATGTGGAGGCTGCTGAATTGATGACATCAAGACAAAGAATACTAGCGAATCCAGAATTTGGTGTTGTTGTTGTTGATTTAATATTTTCATCCTGGTTATCTGATAATTATATCAAGATATACATCAATTAGAGGAACATCTCAAGTTCCAAGTTAACGATGCTTGCTAAAGTTGGTGCTGATCCTATTTATTAATTTGTAACTTCAAGACCCATAAACAGAAACCTTCCATTTTACCAAATTATAAATAGGAACTAACAAACATTACTGCAATTAAAAATGCTGCAAAATCACTCAAAAAAACCCTCTTATTTGTCCTTGGTGCAGCAATATATGATATAAGCAGAAACTTTCCTCATCAAATAGCCTTAACCTTAGAACAATGCATGGCAAAGCAATCATATAAGTCTCATATTGCAACTAAATGAGCTCCATGATTTTTTACGGAAAAAACTGGACCATATATGCTGATATTATATTCTAAAAATGAAAATCTTGTTGACAAAAACTTGTCTTCATCCAATTTTTACAACAAATTCAAAAGAATTGAGGAAAATAATATATATATATTTCATATATGAAGTCAAATTCAACCAAAAAGCTTAAGGCAAGGCTCTGAATTTCTCCCAAAATAAAGAACAATAGAGTTTTTGAAAACAAATATAAATTTTTAAGTTCAGAAATTCACATCATGAGAACTCTCTTTTTTTTAGATAGATTTTATTGTCAATTATCAAATTATTCATGGTAGTTCTCATCAACTTTGTGAAAAGAGAGAAGGTGCATTATCGATCACATACCTCAAAGAAAAAAGAGAGAGAGAAAAGAAACACACAAACGTCCCACTAACAGGAATAAAGTGCACCTAAACCTAGTTACTGAAACTACTAGCTTATGACTCTACTGCAAGTATAGCCACCCATCTCAGGATAATGCACCACGATTTCATGTTGAGATTCCATTTTGGAACTAGTAGTTCAAGGATTTATGAAAAAATATGTTTTTCCCTTTCATGACCATATGAATCAAACTTAAACAGTTATTTGTTACATTCTTAAATAAAAAATAGTAATAAATGCACCCGATCTCTAGCATTATGAGAGTAAAACATCTTCTCAAAAAGTCTCCTGTTTAAACTACAACCCTCAAGAGTACAAGCAACTAAATCTAGAAACATATCAGAAAAGACACTTAACCAACCTTCGTGAAAGCAAATAACATATGAAGAGCTGTCAATGAAAAAAAAAACGTAATTTGCAGTAATACTTAATAATAGATACTTATTTATTTACTAATGACAAATTGCCCAAGAAAACCTGTAAAAGACTCAAAACCAAATCACTGCAAGTTAGATTATCAGGTCAATTTCAACCACCGTGATTCATTTCAAGCCTAATTAAGCAAATAATGAGAAAATTATTCTTATTTGTTAAGCTGGCAATAACCATGAAGAAAGACACACTGCTCTTAATATAAACTTGATTGACAAATGAGTGGTTCAAACTGAGGAGAAAAACAAAATAGGGTTGCTCAGTTAAAGTAGCAGTCAATATAATAGTAGGAGTGACAAGGGTTGATAAAAAGTGTAAAACTGATATAGTGTATGTATACTTTAGCATGTTAATAAGAGACAACAAGCAGATACGGAAAGATAGTAATCAACAGCTTTGCAAATTGTATTCCAATAAAAATGCACACTTGACTTCAAATTTAAATGCTCATTTACAAAAAAACCTTTAAATTTAAATGCCCATCAAGAAACAAATAACAAATATCAGAGTTTCCTTTGAAGGATGAGCAATTGAGATCATTAAGAAAAAAGTCAATAAATAATAACCATCTCAATTCCTTAAACTAATTTTAGGATAAGAAGCAAAATCAAATCATGCAAATGGATGTCCCTCGGCTAAAATATTTCTTCTTTGCAAAGAATCACAAGCAACGGCTATCATTGATTGCAGGAATATAAATAGCCATAGCCATATATTATCTCAATTCTCCACTTTGCAAAAGGGTAAAGGACAAAACAAGCAACTATACCCGGTATCCATTTGCATCAGTTGCCTCAACTCGAGCTCCATTCTGCAAAAGCACGTCCGCTACAGCGACCGAACCTTTAACTGCTGCCCAATGTAAAGCCGTCTGCTGCATGTTGTCCACCGCATTGACCTTCCCCCCGTGCTTCAACATCCCAAACACCAAATCCGTAACCGTCAAGAATACGTACAATCAATGATGGATTGCACCAATTAAACCAACTAAGCTAACGGCAATCAAAAGCGGCAAAAAATCAAGAAACGCGTGCCAAAGAAATGGTTGACGATACCTCAATGATATACTGTGCGATATCAGCGAAATTGTTAAGAGCGGCCCATTGAAGAGCGTAGTAACCATTGTTATCGGGTGTAGACAGAGATGCACCATTTTCCTCGACAAATTTCCTCAATTTCTCAAGGTCCCCGTAAGCAGAAGCAGAGTAAACATCGATCACGAGCAATTCGCTTGGATTCTGTTGCGCCTTTGAGTCCGACGATACTACTTCAATCTCTGAAGAACCCATTGAATTACTATGTACAATAAATAGTTCAGAGAAACTGGGGCTCTAATTCGAAGTCAGGGTTTAGGGTTTATATTTAACAAATTAGAATTGCAGGAGCTTCTTTGACCATCGGGATGAGCTGTTATTCTTCCTCCCCCATCGTTTTCCACTTTTTCTTTTCCTTCTAAAATTTTCTAAACGAATATCATTCACAGTTTGAACTGGATTATATTATCTAAAAAATAATAAAAATTATTAGTCATGTACTGACATAATTTGCTATCTAATATTTTTTTTTAAAAGGCAAAATTATTGTTTTAGATTTGGATTAACTCTAATAGTTTAAAATTGACGACACGTTTGTAAATAGATTAATTTCTTATGTAATTAATCATACTAATTTTTATTTATATACAGATTTTATAATTAGAGAATGTAAAATAATAAAATAGTAAATCATATATTATACTGTTTTCTGTTTTTTTTTTTTAGTTCACTTAATTGAATAAAATTATAATATAGTAATTAATCAGCATCAACCAAATAATGTAATAATAATTCATCAAAATTTCATTAAATTTGATTTTATTATATTATAGATTGAAAAAAAAAATTACAATAAATTATAATACAAGCAAATAATCTTACAATAACTCGTTAAAATTTTAATTTTTATAATATCCTATGTTAAAATAAATTTGTAATAAGTTTATGAATTACTTTAGTGCAGTGTTTTAATTATATAAGTTACACTTATATATTAGTAAATATTTTTATTAATATACAGTGAAAAAATTATAGATAACTTTAATTAATAAAATCACATTATATTTAAATTTTATATTATCATTTTAGTTAATTGTTAATGTGGTGTAGAAAAAAAAACATATAAAATATTTGAAAATAATACTTAAATTTAAATTGTTAATAATTATAGAATAACACGTTATGCTGAACTGACACATTCAATCATAATAAAGTAGTGTAAAATTAAAATTTCAGATAAATAATTTTTAGCAATAAAATTTTCCAATATGGTACTTAATTTATTTGTTACATCTTTTATTTAAAATCTAATTAAATTGTCACGTGGTCTTATTGATCTTACCTACGACATCCCAAGCTGGATAGCAATAGTGAAAGGAAGGGCAAAAAAATTAAATAAAACCAACTGCCACGCTCTAGATTCAATTCACGTGCATCCAATTTAATATAAATATTATAAATTAAATTAAATTCTTCATTTTTTTTAATAATAATGTAGAATTAAATTCCTAACTATGTACCTTGGTCGTAGATTAAAATAAAAAATTTAATATTGATATTTATTTATTAAAAATTACTTGAGTGGGTCTAAGAAATTATTGTCCAACTTAAAAAATTACTTACTGAATAAGCAACCTTTTTTCCCTTTAGTAATCTTATGCTATTATTACAATAATGTTTTAACTAAATAAAAATATAACATACTCATTAATTATTTAAAAATATATTTATTATTACAGTTTAATTTTAAAAATTAAAAATAAATAAAAATGACAATATATCTATAAAATAAATATATGTTTAAAATATATTTAAAATGTTATATTGTTTCAATTTAAAAGTATACAATAAAATTAAAAAATCATTGTCCAATATATTTTATTTTATTACTAAGTTACACTCTCTAATTTTTGGTCTTACTCCTTTAAATTATTTTATTAAATATAAAAATAAATAAATTTACATTTTGAAAAAGATTATTAAAAATAAAATATAGAAAATAAAAAACAACAAAAGGTGAGCCAATCAAATTTAAACAACTGCTTCCTCAACACAATATAAACAAACAAAACGCAAACATCCTGTATACTTCACTCTCAATCTCAGAGCACTCGTAAACGCAACAATGGCGGCCACAAGAGCAATTGCGGCAGTTGCAGGTCAAACAGCCTCATGCTTGCTCTCCAAACGGCCGTTCGCCTTGAAGCAAAAACCTAATTCCATCTGCTTCAACAGGAAGACCTTTGTCGTATCGAAGAGATTGTTCTCTTGCAATGCTATATACAACCCTGAGGTCCAGATCAAAGAGGAAGGTCAGCCCGAAACTTTGGATTACAGAGTCTTCTTCGTCACCAACTCCGGGAAAAAGGTACTTTTCTCCTCTTTATTCTTAAAGATGCTCTGTGAGTGTTGTATGTATTTGTGCGTATCTAAGTGCAAATGCATATTCATATATGTGTACCGGTTAGGGTCTTTTTTTGCTTGTTTAGAAAATGCGAGAATGAGGGAGGATATGGAGAAATTGGTTTCTTCCATGTGTGCGATTCGCGTTTAGAAACCAAGGCAATGTAAAAGGACGGGGAAAACCATCGAGACTCTCTGTTTATTGTAAAAGGATTATTTTTTAGCCCCGAAATTTCTTGTTCTTCCATTTGCCCGATTTGCTTGGTTGCCGAGGAGGGTGAGTTAAAGGTTTTTTTGTTTTTTTTTTTTGTTTTTAATCTTCAATCTACGTTATTCTGGATTAGCTGTTACATGCTGACACTGAATGTTACAGAACTATTTGAATCGATATGCTGTTAAAATTGGTTGTCGTTTATTTTTTTCGTCCTTTTTTTTTTCAATTAGATGTTCTTCCTCTCAGTTGTTTCCTAAGCTAGTATTGAAAGGAAAAGATTCCCATTTTTATCTGTTAATGGCCTTTCATTAGATGGCTTGCATAGCTATGACAGTGGAGCATTTTATTTTAAAAAAGAAAAGCTATGATCGTGGAGCATCGCGTTTCCTTTGATAACTGCTGTATAACCTTCTAACAGAAAGATTCGTTCTTATGAATTATAAAGAATTGAGTTGTGATGGAAATAAGCTGAATTAGATAATCTACTGAAAAGCTACAAATTTTCTCAGTGACGGGGATCTTGGCTGAAAGTGAAAATACAAGGATCTTGAGTTAATCTATATTTAAAAAGAAGGATCTTGAATTAATCTTAAAAGAAAGAGGAAGTTTGAGCTGGTGGTTAACACTGTATGCATGAATTGCCCTGTTTTGGTATGAATAATCATTCTGCATCATGTCCTAAGTATCTACTCATTCAAGCATGTTTTCCCCTAATCAATGGAAGAATTTTGTCACTGGCTTTGCAGATTTCTCCTTGGCATGATGTACCATTGCATTTGGGTGATGGTTCTTTCAACTTTATCGTGGAAATTCCCAAAGAATCAAGTGCAAAGATGGAGGTTGCTACTGATGAGCTGTATACTCCAATTAAGCAGGACACAAAAAAGGGAAAGCTTAGATATTACCCGTAAGATCTGCTCCACGGATTTTTTTTTTTCATTTCATCTTTTGTTTAGTTTATTTTTCTTGTGTAAAAAGTTAGGGAAAAAAATACTGAATATTTTCTTATATTTTATTCAAATAAAAGTAAGGGTATATATATATATAAACGGATTCATATATAGTAACTGACATAAATTATCATATTAATTTTCTTGCTAATTATACTAATATATTTAGAAAGGTAATCATACTATTATGTATAAAAAATATTTTATAATATTCTAATACTTTTTATCAATTTAGAGCATAAATATTAATCATGTCTAGTTTGTTTCGAAAATACTCAATCTGTGTCTTATTCAAAAGTTTCGTGAATATCTCATAAAATTGTTTTCATGTTTTCACATAATCAATAAATATAAAGTTTTACTGAATCTTCTCTCAGATGAAGTGACAATTAAATTCGATATGTTTGGTTCTCTCATGATACAAAAGATTTGAGTCAATATTAAGGACAACTTGATTATTGCACCAGAGTTTTGCAGGAGACGTTTCAAACCCACTTTATCTAAAAGATAATGTATTCATAAGACTTTGCATGTGAACTAACGAGATATAATTGTTTGCTTCTTACTTTTTTATAATATAAGATTTTCACGAATAAAAACACAACAACCCGTAATAAATTAGCCAAATCAGTATCTGTAATTCAATGTGAGAATACCCATAATTTCTAAACACTATGCCGAGTCTCAGAGAACCTTTTAAGTAGTACAAAATCTGTTTCAGAACCTCTTAATGTTTGACTGTAGGTGCAGATATAAATTGATCTGTAACACTGATAGGATATGTAATATCTAAACGAGTCACAGTGAGGTAGTTCAATTTCTCAACTACTTGTGTATTTTTCTGAATCATTAAGGGGATCACCATCATCTTTTGTAAGATGTACATTTGGTACTTTTTGTGTATTGCATGACTTACCTCCCAGCTTTCCTGTTTCTGCAAGAAGATCAAGTACATAATTTCTCTGAGATAACAAAATCTCTTCCTTGTTACTTCAATCCCCAATAAGTATTTTAGTTGTCCCAAGTATTTAGTGTTAAACTTGGTATGCAAGATTGATTTGAGAGAAGATATTTTTAGATGGTCATCTCCTGTAATCACGATATCATCATCATAAATAATAAGAAGTGTAATACCAGTTGTTGATTATTTATAGAAGATCGAATAATTACACTTGTTCTTTTTCAATCTAAATCCACATACTACCTCACTAAACTTGTCAAACTACGCACAGGGACTTTACTTGAGACCATACAAAGATTTCTTCAAATAATAGACTTTCTCGTACTCTCCCTGAGTAATAAATCCAGGTGGTTGTTTTATATATACTTATTTTAAGAGATCATTATGAAAAAATACATTTTTAATATTCAATTTGTGTAAGGGTTAATCTCGAAAAGTTGCAATAGATATGAATAAACGGATAGAGATAAGTTTGACAATTCGAGAGAATGTATCAAAATATTCCACCCTATAAGTCTGAGCATAACTTTTTGCTACCAGTTGAGTTTTAAGTTTCGCCACAAAGCCATCTATATTCACTTTAACTACAAATACCTATTTGTACCCTACAATCTCTTTTGCTTTGGATAAATCCATTAGATTTTAGGTATGATTATCATCAACAACATTTATCTCTTCAAGTATGACATTACAGGGTGATTTAGAGCTTCTTTAATTGTCTTGGGTATAGAAGTGAAATCTATATAAGCAATTAAAGAGATAGACAAATGAGACAAGCGATCAAATGAAATGAAATTAGCAATGAGATAAGTAAAATGAGGAATGATGCATTGATGTGTACCTTTACGAAAACTGATAAGAAGATCAAGATCATTGATGAAAGGATTAGATGATGAAGAAACTAGTGCAAGACATGTATTATTAGTTTGCTATCTTCTGAAATAAAACATGAATAATTAGTGGTTGTTTTTGAGATGGAGGTACACCCTTGTTGGTTTGCTCAGAAGGTACATAAGAAAAAATACTATTATCTGGTTGCTTCGTAGAGGTATTGGGCTGGAATCTATATATGAGCCACTCATCATCCTTTACTTGATCTGTAGAACTGGACTGTGAGGAGAACGGTATATTCTCAAAAAGACTATATCGGTTGATATTAGATATTTATTGAGGTATGGAGAGCAACATTGATATCCCTTTTACAAGCGAATATATTCCAAAAAGACACATTTCAAGGTCTTGAGATCAAACTTAGTAATATTTGGTAGCACATTTCAAATATAACAAGTTCTATCAAATATCCGCAACTCTATTAGAAATAATGTCTTGTTTGGGAAAAAGCATACTGTAAGAAATATCACATTCAAATACTGTAAATGATAGACGATTAATCAAGAAACATACAGTGGATACAACATCGGCCCAAAATTGCTTAGGAACCTCTGTCTGGAACAAAAAGACTTGGACAATCTCAAGTAAATGTCTGTTCTTTCTCTCAGTAACTCCATTTTGAGATGGTGTATCAATACAAGAAGATTGATGAAGAATCACATGTTGAGTCACATAATGAAATGAATCTGACATATATTCTTTACCATTATTATTTTTTAGAACATGCACAGAAACATTAAATTGAGTTTTGATTTCTGCATGAAAAGCACAAAAATGAGCAAACACTTCAGAATAATTTTTCATAAAGTATATACAAATCATTTGAGAAAAATCTTCCACAAAAGTAATAAAATACTTAAATTTTGTTTTAGACATAACAGGATATGGACTCCAAATATCATAATGAACTAATTCAAAAGTAGACTCAGCTCATTTATTAATTCTTGTACTTGACAAGTTACGATAATGTTTTGCAAATTAATATGATTCATAAAACTGAAGACACAACATTTTTAACACAGTGAGAGATAGATGTTCTAATTGACAATGTGCTTTAAATGGAAATATAACACTAGAACAGACAACTGATCGAGACACCCAACTATCAAGAATGTAGAGATCTTCTGATGCATGTCATTTACCAATTATTTGTTTTGTCATAAGATTCTGAAAAAGACAATGATCGAAAAAGAATAAGATATAACAATTAAGATTTTTGATAAACTTATTTATAGAAATCAAATTGAAAGCAAATTTATGTAGACTTAAAATAAATATCAGAGTAATGGAGGGAGTTGGTTTTATAGTCTCATAACCCTCAATATTATAGGTTAATCCATCAGTAATAGTTACAGGATAGGGTGCTTTGTGCGATTAAAAGCTAGATAAGATATTAGGGTTATCTGTCATGTGTTCTGTAGTACCAGAATCAATCACTCATTTGTTTGATGAAGAGATAAAACATTTTTTTACCTGATTCAGCAGAAGTAGTGGTTGGTGTACATTCTTCCAAAAATTCTTGAAAGTAAGAGATTGCTGAAACCGTAATAGTTTTCTCATAAGAGGAGTTAGCAGTAGTAGCAGTAGCAATATTAATTTTTTGTGTTCTTCGATTCCGATTCTGTAATTTCTTGCATTGCTGCTATATATGTATTTGCTCACGACAGTAATAACAAACAATATTGCTGGAATCATTATTCCAACCATCCATTGTTGTTTCCTCCCCTATTATTATTTCTTCTTCCTCCTCTAGCAATAAGAAAATTAGTATGCTGATTGAGTGTAATAGCCTCTGTGCGTAACACTCTACTGAAACTTTCTGAAGAGATGTGATCTCGTAACCGGATAGAATTTGAGATTTGACAGTTCTCAAATTTAGATGGAAGACCAGCCAAAAAGGTCATTATGGTCATCTGTTCTTTCTATGTTTGTTGTACCTTGATGTCAGCACTAAACAGTAAAAGTACATTAAGCTCGTCATGTCTTTTTAAATTCCATAAAGTAGTTTGTGTGAGATTTGATCTCCTTCTCAACACGGTAGAAAGTCTTACAAACATCGTTACATACGGAATACATTTTCTTTACCTGAATATAGAAATTTTAAATAATCCATCAGTTCTTTAACAAATTCATAGTGATTAATTAAGCCAATTACTTCACCGATAATCGAATTTTTAACCGACAGGAACAATCATGCATCATCTCTTAGCCAGATTTGTCTAGTTCCATTAGTGGGAGGGTCTTGAGCCAAGTGATCATTCTTATCAATACTGCATAAATAAATCCAGATAATTTTGCTCTACTCCAGATAATTTGTTTCATTTAATTAATGCTTAGTAGTTTTTGACATGATCAAGACTATTTTATTTATAGAGAAATTGTTATCACCTATTTTAATTCAGGAATATAAAAAAACATGTCGCACAGAATACTCAAACACAACAACTAGAGACACACCAAAAACATTGCAAATATATTAAAACATCTAAGAAAACAGAGTATCTCTTCACACACGGCTATCAACAATCTTACCAGAACCTTACTGGCAACCACCGAAGATTTTGCACCGCCCCGGAAACCACCTAACAGTCTTCTTTCTGCCAGAAATCACCACAGAACTCTAATATATACCCAAATCTGGAATGACGCTCGCAGGAACGCCTCAAATCACACCGGAGAGCAGAGGATCGCTTGCTGTTGCACGATCTGCTCTGCCTTTCTCCTCTCCAGCCTTCTGGTTTTGTGCTCAGAATTGGCCGACCAAGCTCCTCTAGGGCTTCAGTCTTTGTATAGGAAACGACACGCACGGGAATACTCTCCTCTTGCAAACTCGATGCATGCAACCTCAAACTGTCGCGCAAATAGCCTCCTCGGCTTCTCCTGCATACACCACCATGCTGGTCGCACTCTAAACTGGCTGGAGATAGGTGGTCGACTTTTTTCGGTGCCGGGAATGTGTTGTTCAACTCTTCTTTCTTGTATTTTATTCAAATGGGAGTAGAGGTACATATACATACAGATAGATTTATATATGGAAACGACATAAATTATCCTATTAATATTCTTTTTAATTATAATAATATATTTAGAAAGATTATCATACTATTATGTATAAAGAATATTTTATAATATTTTAACATCTTGTAATAGTAACTGAATTTATTTTTAGCTATGGTCTCCGTGTGTTAGCAATCAAATTTAACTTTTTTAGTGGATTACATCAACCTTTGACTAGTGATTTCAAATAAGTAGAATTGTTTGTGTGGGAAATACTCACGTCATACTTAGCAGTTTCTTGTTTCCATATGGCTGTTTTCAGTTCTTGTTTCTGTATAGCTGTTTCTGATGATGAGTATGTAGTGTCATTGATTGTCCCAACTATTTATCGGGTATTCTTTAACAGCCAACAAATGCTATGAGATTTTCATTTTGTGGAATAATTCTTAGAGATGTGACAGAATGATTGATGGCTTTTCTGGTGACTTTATATCTTGCCTGATGTTTGGAAATCTTCTGTGCGAAGATCATGGTCTCTCTTTTACATTTGTTCTTCTTTGGTTTTTTCATGTAAAGTAACTATGCTTCACAGATGACTAACTTGTTATCATGACCTTATTTTGGAGCTAACAATTCAATCAAAAGTTTATGAAGGCGAAGTTGAGGTAGCAGTTTGGTATTAACTAAAAAAGTCGGGGGTGGGAGTAAAGTTTCCATGTTAAACCTTAAATGTATTTTTCTCTTTAGCTGCTATATAGTTATTGTCTTATTCTTATTCAATTAAAAAAAAAAAAAAGAGAATTCATGTAGTAGGACGTTAGCCTAGAGTGTGTGTTAAAAGTCTTGTATTTTTTTTACCACTTTTTCTTCATAGTAAATTCTCATTCCATGTCTTTCATGAATGTCGATCACTTACCTGCCACTGAACCACGTACAATTCCACATCTCTATTTCCTAGTTGTGTATTTTGTTTACATACAACACAATATATTTACATACACACAATATATTTACGTACACACAAGCCTTCCCTCATTGTAAGTGAAAAATCAAATGGTGACCATGCTCATTGAATCTCAGTTTTTCTCCACTATCCTGGATGAAAATTTTGTAAATATTTCAGAACCAGATCCCCCTGGTCTGTATGAAATACCGCAGATAACAATCTTCGGTCTATGCCAACAAATTATCCTAGATGAACATTGATAACCCCATCCTGTGCATAGTTACCTCAGCTTTTGACAAATACCATCTTTCTGTTTGTATCTATTTTTCTGTTTATTCATTTTTCTGGTCGTTCCCATGTGTAGTGTCTATTATTAGTTTTCTGTGCTCATTGTCTGGTTGGTCCTTCTCAACTATCTGGACCTTTTCTTTTTGTGAAAGAAAGAGAAATCATTAAACCGGCACCAAGAAGATGCCACCAAAGTACAACTCTCTGGAATTTTCATTCGTGTTGATGGTGCACTGCAATAACAAATATGAAATCTTTTCCTCATTTGCATGGTTTTTGCTCCTAACCAAATAAATCTGGAACAACTGCAAGTCCATGAATTTACAATTTCTCTTGGTCTTCAGGTACAATATAAATTGGAATTACGGACTACTTCCACAGACATGGGAAGATCCATGTTTTGCGAACTCAGAAGTCGAAGGAGCGTTTGGAGATAACGACCCAGGTAATTCATCACATATATTTACATTTACAAATTTACTTTTTTTCTTCTGCTTATTTTTTAGTTATTTGTCTAATTAGGATGATTCCTATTTTTTAATATTTTGCTTCCCTGTTTGTATAGTTGATGTCGTTGAGATTGGCGGAGCTCGTAGAAAGATTGGTGAAATTTTAAAAGTCAAGCCATTGGCAGCTTTGGCCATGATTGATGAAGGGGAGCTTGACTGGAAAATAGTTGCAATTTCATTGGATGATCCAAAAGCTTCTCTTGTGAATGATGTGGACGATGTCGAGAAGCATTTTCCAGTATGTCCTGTTTTCTAGTTTAGGTGTGCTTGGGGTTATGTGTGATCTATTTATAAGCATCTCAAACTAATTTTTGGTAAATGAAAATTGCTTATAAGCACGAGCCTGTTAGGTGCACATCTTAAGCCCAAAAAGAAAAAGAGTAGTACCTTCAAGTTTTTCAAATTGCTTTAAGTTTTTTATTCTTTTTAACATGTTCAATTTCTTCTCTGGTCCATACAGTAATCTTTTACTTTTTACCCAAACACAACTTATTTTAGTTTTGTTTGATTTCTTTTTGGTAAGCACTCTCATCTAACAATATAACTCATTTTCCAAATTAATTCCCAGGTGTAAATTGCTTTTAAGCAGCTTTGTTTCAGTGAAGACAAAATTGTTTAAGTCCTTATTTTGTCATCTGGTTTTTTATGCTAAATATGCTTTTTTCTTGAAGTTTTCAAGAAAGAGTTCTGTCTTTTGCAAGTCAATTCATTTAAGCTATTAGTAAGCAAAACTTTAACTTTACTAATTTTGCAATTATTCTCAGGATACTCTAACTGCCATCAGGGACTGGTTTAGAGACTACAAGATCCCCGATGGAAAACCAGCAAACAAGTTTGGTCTTGGCAACAAAGCAGCAAGCAAGGTTATATGCTATATGTTTGTTTCTTTTCATAGATCATTTCTTGCATTTTCTTCTCTTTTTGTGTGATAGGGTCCTGAGCTTTGATTCCAGTCCCGGAGCTACTAGTGTGAAATTCTGAAGCAAGTAAGCTGCTTGCTTCCAAGTTTTCTGGCTTTGCCGGCCTATGTTGAGGCTCGTTTTAAGAGAACCTCCAAATTTTTAGAGAAAATCTTTGGGTTAATTGCTTGATGAATTTATTTACGATAAAATCCATTTATATGGAAGCTAGTTGAATTAGATTTCTATTAACTTTTGGCAATCATATTCCTAGTTTTATTCCAAGTTCTAATCTAGATCTTGTTATAGTTTTAAGAATCTTAATCTTGGTTTTATTCTAATTTTCTAGTCTAAATGTAAATAATATAAATCTTTTGTTCTAATTTTCTAATCTAAATCTAAATAACATAAATTTTTAAATAATTCTAATTCTTATTAGTTAATTCAAGAAACCATATTCCTCCTTTCTTTTCCTTTTGCTGCTTCTATGGGTCCCACTCTCTATTATTTTCCGTATTGTAACATTAACTGTATTTGTAACATTGTGTCTTGTCATGCTGATGTTGGAATTCATTTATGTTCAATGACAGGATTATGCTCTTAAGGTCATTACTGAGGCGAATGAGTCATGGGCTAAACTTGTGAAGAGATCAATCCCTTCTGGAGAGCTTTCCCTTGTGTAAATGAAGGTGAAATCATCAGACTTGGAGATGCAGCTGTTACCTGCTCATATTCTTAGCCTAGCTAGAGTTGTCTGAGATTGAGTCTTCCCTTCTGGTAGGTGAGTACTGTTAATCTCATTTGTTAAACATCAAAGTCATTTCTTCCCATTGATGGACTTGAATAATCAACTGACTCTTTTTGTAATCTGCCAATAAATATAGTTTATTTGATTAAATTGAATTATGGGTCTCCTTCCTGCTTTTTTGTTCTTTTGGCAGTATTGTTAATATTCAGTTCTGGTAATATAAACAGAGATTGCCTTGGTGGAAACAAAAGCAACATGTTCAAAATTTATTGATTCAATTTTTTTGTAGTAAATAGTAAAGTGTCATGGATTTTTGCGCAGCAGATTTATAATTACAAGTGAAATATCTGTATATTTGTGTATTAACTAAAAACTGCAAGATCAGAGGGAGCCAAAAGAAACACTATATGAAATCAGCGAGAAATATTTAGACAGAATGGATGGACCATCTTCTCCATCACCCAGACCTCAAAACAGAAAAAAGAAAAAAAAAACAGAGACTTTTTTCAGCTATCAACCTCCCTAGCCGCCACTACCAGCAGCTGAGTTCAAGAGCTTCTTGAAACCTCTTCTCCATTGTAGAGTCAGCAGACAAAGAAGACTGAAGCATATCGTAGTGCTTATCTCCAGATCTTTCTTTGTAAAATGGCACCCACTTCACTGCAGAAACCTTTACCCCCATGAATGTTGCAGGTGCTGGTGGTGCCGCAGATTGTGGTGGTGATGGCGGTGTATGCTTGGTCCCATGAGAATGAGCACGAGATAGGATTAACATAGCTGCTGTTGGTGCCATTTCCAGTACTTTTGAAGAAACAAAAAACAAGGGGTACCAAAACTAGAAACTTTTTATCCCTCTCTTTCTGTATACGTTTCTTGTATGCGTGTGTGTATATATGTGTGTGTGTAATACTAGAGCAGTGAAACGATTTGAAAATCCAGTGGGCTCTTCTTCAGTTGGTTTTTGTGGGGTTGGTAAGATCAGCTGTGTTCAAGTTCGTGGGATCTTTAGGAACAGGAGCAGAATATTGGTCTCTTGGTTGCTGGTTTTGGTTCCAGCCAATGGAAGTTAGGGACTATGATTGTAATGGTGAACGTGAGTGTATCAAATCATGTCAAGCTTCCCGTTTTGCCAAAACGCCGTTGGTTTCTACCGTTGCTAGATTTGCTGAGGGGCCGACTTCAAAACACCTACGTCTCTCGCACGTGCCGTGTCCATCACTGTCGCCGTTGGTTTACATCGTATTCTTCTGTACATGCTTGGTAGTTCTTTTTAGTTTTTCTCTTTTTTTTTTTTTTTTTTTTTTTTTTTTTTTTCTGTCTGGGGATGAGGGTAATATTGTCTTTGAGAAAAAAGTTTTAAATACGGAAGGGTGTATATATATATATATTTGTTTTATAATGGAAGGTTTATCAGAATAAATTTATTAAAATACTTACAATGCTGGAATCATATTAATAAACAGTTTTGTTTTCTTTCATTTCCGTTTAAAAGATAAATAAGAATAACAAAATAACCAAACAAATCGGCAATTATCAAATTACATTTGGATCCATTGCTTTGCAAAATCCCCAATAACAATTAGTTACAAGAGAGAGAATGAAAAAAATAAAAAAATAAAAAAAAAATAAAAGTGAAAAAATGAAAAAATAAAAACAACAGGAAAAGGAGAGAGAAAATTAATTAAGAGGAATCGAGAAAAAAGGAAAATGAATATAAAATAGAGGGTAAGGCCTGGCCTGCTATTGGTCCAGGCTTTTTGACCCGAAACCCAAAAATATTCAAATTAATACATTCTCATAACCTGGCTAATACCCAGATCCGGACAAAGGCCCGGGCCGAGACTCAGGTCCAGTCGGCCCAAACCTAAGATCAAAGATCAGGCCCCCAGATCCAGCCCAGGCCCAAGCCCAATCCAAGAATCAAGACCGAGAACCCGGGGCCATACCAAGGACCCAGACTAAGACCTAGAAGCCAGGGCCCATTATCCTAGGTTTAGGGGGGCCAGATCCAAGGTCCCGAACCCAAACCCACGCCCAAGTCCCAGTTCTCAGATCCAAGGCACAGACCCACGCCCAGACTCAGGGCCTCCGACCATTGCCCAAGCACAATATCAGGCTTAAGAAACAGGCCTTAGACCCAGAACTAAGGCCCAGACCTAGACCAAGGCCCAAACCCAAGCCCAAGCACAGGCCGAGAATCAGGGCCGTACCCAAACCCAAAGCCAGACCCATACCAAGGCTAGCCCAGACTTAGGCCCAAGCCAAGACCCATGCCCAAAACTAGGCCCAGACCAAGACTGAGGCCCAGACCTAGGTCCAGTCCCCTACTCAGGCCCATACCCCTGCCCAGGCACAGACCCAGGCCTAGACTTAGGCCCAGACCCAAACCCAGGCCCAGACCTAGACACATGCCTAGGCCCAGGACCAGGCCCATACCTCGACCATCTCTAGGCCCACCCTTAGGCCCAGGGCTATGATTATACCCAGAACCAAACCAGGCCTACACCCACGCCCATCCCTTGGTGCAGGCCCAGACCAAGTCCTAAACATAAAGCTAACCAGGCTCCAAGTTAGCCAGCTTTTCTTCTTCGTCCCAGAGCCCATACAACCCCCTTTAAATTAACCTCTCCATAACTTTTCCTCCCTCTTCTTTCATCGACAGAGAGAGAGAGAGAGAGAGAGAGAGAGAGGATTTTTCTTTCTTTTTCAGAGTGAAGCAGAATTTGAAATCAACTAAAAACAAAAAAATTTCGATAAATTTCGCCTATAATATCAAATCAGATATAATCATCCAATAATCCATAAAAAAAAAAATGAGGAATGAAAATCTTCAAGTGATTTTATCCCTCTCAAGTTCTTTTTGCATTTCTCTATCTTGGAGTCGAAGGAGAATCGAGGAGTTCCTGTGGGTGAAGAATATATGCTTCAATTTCCCTTCTTTAACGCTCTGCAGCACTTCACTTCTGAAACGGTGTCCTAGGACTCACAAGAGATTTTATTTTTTACTTTTGTTTAAGGATCTTAGGTCTGGTTTAATAGTAAATAATCTATCTTTTAATTATCTGTTCCGTGAAAAAATTAGTTCAGTTAATTTTCTTGACAGAAAAAAAAAATGTCAAATAATTAGAGCATCTCGAAACTACTTTTTTCTATTCGCCCCATATTGTGAACTTCTTGCAAAAAAGCATTAAAACTTAGTAAGTTCCTTGCAAATTTGGCTTCTTTGTGATTCTTTATGTGGGAGAATGCATGTGCTTTATTATTTTTGTTGTTTGTTGTCTAACAACCTAAAATTCTTTATTTTTTGTTCTTCTTTTTTATGTTGACTTGTCTAAACTACTATATAAATCCAAAGTAGTACAAATCAGTTGCAATCACTTTCAAGACATTATGCTTTGGATAAAAAAAAATGCTTCTTTGTCAAACTCACAAGCTGGAGAGCAACCTCAATTGGAGCAGGAAAAGAACTCTCCAATAATCAAGATTAAGTTGCATCCCGATTATCAAATTCCAAGTCAGTCTGAAGTACCTTGGCAAAAATTACAGCCTCATATGTACGTTTGAATTGTAATTTTCAATTTTAATTTCTATTTTTGCTTAAGGTTCTTCAGTCTGGTTTCGTTGTAAAATAATCCATCTTTTAATTATTTTATCCATCACAAAACTAGCTCAGTTAGTTTTCTTGATCAGAAAATAAAATGTCAAATAATTAAAGCATCTTGGGACTACTCTTTTCTATTCGCCCCAGATTATGAACTTGTTATACTACCTAAAAAAAAGCCTAAAACTTGGTAAAGTTTCCTACAAATTTGGCTTCTTTGTGATTTTTTATATGCGAGAATGTATCTACTTTATTATTCTTATTGTTTGTTCTTTAACAACTTAAAATTCTTTATTTTTGGTTCTTCTTTTCGGTGATGATTTGTCTAAACCACCATATAAATATAAAGTAATGCAAAATCAATTGCAATTACCCTCAAGACATCATGCTTTGGATGAAAAAAATGTTTCTTTGTCAAACTCAGAAGTTGGAGGGCAGCCTCAATCGGAGTAGCAAAAGAACGTTTTGATAATCAAGATTAAGTTGCATCCTGATTATCAAATTCCAAGTCAGTCTAAAGCGCCTTGACAAGAATTGCAGCCTCCTATGTACATTTGAATCATAATTTTCAATTTCATTTTCTACCTTTGCTTAAGGTTCTTCAATTTAGGTTCACAGTAAAATAATCTATCTTTTAATTATCTTATTCATGAAAAAACTAACTCAATTAGTTTTCTTGATAAAAAAAATAAAATGGCAAATGATTAGAGCATCTCTGAACTACTCTTTTCTATTTGCCTCAGATTGTGAACTTCCTATACTACCTGCAAAAAAGCCTAAAAACTTGGTAAAGTTTCCTGCCAATTTGGCTTCTTTGTGATTCTTTATATGCAAGAACGCATATGCTTTATTATTCTTCTTGTTTGTTCTCTGACAACCTTAAATTCTTTAGTTTTGGTTCTTTTTACCTGTGATGATTTGTCCAAACCACCATATAAATCCAAAGTAGTACAAAATCAGTTGCAATCACCTTCAAGACATCATGCTTTGGATGAAAAGTATGCTCTTTTTCAAACTCACAAGTTAGAGGGCAACCTCATTTGGATCAGCAAAAGAACTCTTTGATAATCAAGTTTAGGTTGCATCCTGATTATCAAATTTCAAGTCAGTCCGAAGCACCTTAGCAAGAATTGCAGCCTCCTACATATGTTTGAATCATAATTTTCAATTTCATTTTCTACTTTTGCTTAAGGTTCTTCAGTTTAGGTTCACAGTAAAATAATCCATCTTTTAATTAACTCATTCATGACAAAACTAGCTCAATTAGTTTTCTTGATCAAAAAATAAAATGTCAAATGATTAGAGCATCTCGGAACTACTATTTTCTATTCGCCCCAGATTGTGAACTTCCTACACTACCTACAAAAAAGCTTAAAAACTTGGTAAAGTTCCCTGCCAATTTAGCTTCTTTGTGATTCTTTACATGCGAGAATGCATATGCTTTATTATTCTTGTTGTTTGTTCTGTAACAACCTTAAATTCTTTATTTTTTTTTTCTTCTTTCCGGTGATGATTTGTCTAAACTACCATATAAATCCAAAATAGTGCAAAATC